ACGGCACTCAAGTACACAATACATTGACAAAAACGGTACTAGACTGTCTCGCTTTGATTTCGGAATGCCTACACATTGAGAAGTTAGCTTACTGCCAATATAGAAGTATTACATATATGGCAAAAAATCAATAAAAAGCTTCAATAAATCTGGATATGAAGGCCGATGAGTTCACAAAGGGGACTTTGAGAAAATAATTTTAAGTTTTTTTTTCATGAAGATGTTTAAGATTCGAAAGAAGTCTACTGCCATTGCATTCCACGAGCCATACTTTGCGTGACGATTTTCAATAAACAACTGCCGCTAAAAAAATAAAACAGTTTCCATTGCATCTTGTAGCTTCGGGACGATTATTTAATTTACTACAGCCGCTAAAGAAGTTTAACTTCACAAAGTGTTACTTGATACTTAAAAGACGACACTACAGGCCCCATTTCAATTCGCTTTTAACTTAAATTTTTTTACTTTTGAGGAGTTTCTTGGGCCCATAAAAAGGCCAAAGTATAAAGTCTTTCGTAAGGTAAATGAAAGACAGAAAGTCTCACAAAAAAATGCTCTATCCTTTACCACTCCTGGCGAAAATCTATTTTGAGACGAAGCACTTTTAGGTACATATATCATTTAGCTCGCTCCACCTGTCGCAATAGCCAAGTAAGCAAAGTCCAGGCGTGCCATTCGAGAGATCCAAGTTAGAGCCGTCGTGCAGCGGATTTTTCCCCGTTTTTTAATTTAAATTTTTTCTGTTTAACTTTCTTAAAATATTTAGATTTATTATTTTAAAAAGAAAACTATATTTTTTATTTTGATTAAATTTTTAGAAAATTGTTTTATTTTTTTCTTTTTTAATATTTCTTTTTTTATTAAATTTCTTTTTCTATTTTAACACTGGGAGTGCTTCGCTCTTTTGACCTTTAATTTTCTTTTGATTCTTAGATGTTATTGCTTAAAAAATAATAATTTTTAGGAACTTTTCACTTTCTGCCTTTTTTAAATAAAATTTTATCTTTTTTAGTTTAATTTCTTTTAATTTTTAGATTTCATTGTTTTCCAAAGAAAAGTAAATTGTGGTGTTTTTCCGATCAGTTTAGTTTGGTTGAAATTGTTACNCTAAGATTTTTAGCATCTTGAGGGGAGTTTTTTGTTTATTTACCTGCGCAGCAATAAATATAAAACATTAACAAAACAACAAAAAACCAATAAACATATGAATACATAAAAAACAAATAGCTAAGTTTAACACAAAAGAGTTATTAACTTACATTACATTTAACATTAAACTTTATAACGTAAAACTAAATAGCATTACCAACGCTTGTGGTAGCTTTGTCTAAACTGAATGTTATTGATATTTATAAATTAAATTATTTCCACTTATTTTTAGTTTTTAGATTTCTTTGCTTTAAAAAGGAAACTATATAGATATATTTTACTTAATTTAGTTTTTAGGATTTTATTTTACTTTTTTGTCTTTTTGAATTTAATATCCTTTTAATTTTTTTTTTAAACGCATATTTTTTTTTTAATCTAGATTAATTTATTTTTTTGTCCGTCTTGACTTACCTTTTTTCTTTCGCTAGTATAATATTTACATTTTATTGTTTTAAAAAGAAAAAAATATATATATTTTTAATTTTATTTAATTAAAAAAAAATATATTTATTTATTTTTGCTTTAGTTTAATTTTCTTTTTTTTAACCTACTTCCAAAAAAGGAGGAGGAAAGATTTGCGTATGATATTCGTTAAACAATAAACACTAATAAATATAACAAACCTAAATTAAAGTAATTTTTAGCCAAAAAACCGACTTCAACTCTCATAAAAAAAAATATCCATATACATATATCTCATGATCCACTGATCGGATCTTAACCAGATTAGTATGGGACCACCTCTGAGATACTACCTTTGCGATGCAAAAAGAATTATCGAAATCAGTTAAGGTGGTCTAAAGTTATGCGGTAACATACATAAAAAAAATATAAAAAAATATTCCGATGAACTGATAAAATCCTCTTTTTGGGAAGTCGTTTAAAAACTACCGCAACCTCATTGCTTCCGTAATTAAAATACTTTTGACCCTCCGATAATAATTTCAATAAGACTATCGATAGAATTATCGAGTGAGTGCCATCAATATAATTTCAGTAGTTTTAGGACTGCACTTTAGTTATTTTTAGTAGCGTAACCACATGAAAACCAATCTCTTTGCAAGATAGTCTTTTTACTTACTTTCGATTGGGGCATCTCTTATGTACTTAGCTTCGATTTAATCGTGTTCACTCCACTTTTTCATCAGGCACGCATATGTTTTGCACACCCTTTCCAGCGATTTAAAAATTTTCCTGCGTGCTTTTCAATACTATTCAACGCCCTTGACGCTATAAAAATTTCAATTAACTTCACAAATTACCACCTCTAAAAGGTGTATAAAAATATCAAAAACTTCGTTGTTGGCCCTTACCTTTTGTTCGTAATCCGTCATTAAACATTTTAATCAGGAGCTAGCATTCCGCCTACCAAGCATTCTTCGGCTTAACGGCTGTGTTATCAGGACTTAAGTAAACACCTTCATTGCTCGCATATCAACGCAACGAAACATGAAGTTGATCGCTCAATAAAGGGAGTTAATTAAATTTTCCAAAAAAAAAAAAACATTTAAAAATTCTTCACAAGTTGCCATAAAAGCACAAAAGGAAAAGATATTTATCAGCTAAAAACAATTCACGGCGTAAGTTCACACCTTAAGAGAACTGATCAGTTTTATGGCAAGGAATTAAGAGTGAAGTGGGGATAAAATTGGGAAAAGAAAACAAAAGGCAGGACGTTTATTATTTTTTTTCTTTTTTCTTTTTTTCTTTTTCCCTGAATGTTAATTAATTCTGCAAAGCATAATTTTTTAATATGTTAACTAATATTTTTTTCCAGTTTTATTAGATTAAATGTCAGAAAATATTTATGTAATTTTCATTTTCTTTCCAACCTTTTCCACCATGCGCTGCTACCTAATTTCGACAGCCAGCGACTGGCACACACAAGCGCCATTTGTTCCGCTTATCTCATTTCGGTGGCATTTCTTTAGCCATCAGCTGGCAAAACCAACCGACCAGCTTCTTGTTTTAAGTGTGGCACACAAAAAACCAGGCACAAAAACAAAGCATTGTCCAGCTTTCAGCAGAAGCAGCAACAGCAGCTACAATGTCTTATCTTAAATACACTGGCATTTCGTAGTCAACTCCTCTCTACTGCATATCTACACCACCGTTACACTCTGCATTCGTAGCTCCACAGAGCGTGTATAAGAACAAATTGAAGGCAAAAAGTATATAGCTCGCTTAACCTTTCCATAAACGCTTTTTACTTACGCTTATCGAACTTAAGTGGTTGTTAAGCTGGATGCATAAACGACTGGGTAAGGATGGTGAGGCAAACTTGATTTCTTGTATATTCGTGCAAGCAAATGTAGAATGGTTAGCCAGAGGAAGGTGCGTCTGCGCACTGACTGGACAGCAGGTCGAAAGGCTAGCGCGGCTCTGACTAGGGCAGAATCTTGGCTGTGAGTGCGTGTGGGACTTGAGTACCAGCAAGCGGTTACTTTTCTGTTGTTGCGACCGCGTTTGCGTTTCATGAAACCGCGCATGCGCACCGCACACTGCACCCACACACATTGAGGACCCATTCAAATTAATTCGATGCTTACCGGCCAACGGTCTGAACACTGAAGCATTTGATTTGTGCTCCTTGGCTATTCCTTTTTTTCTTGTCGTGGCTTTTGTAAACTTTGTCATTTTGCTGCTTATAAAAGCCTTTAAATGTTCTATGCCAACGTAATTATTATTCATTTTTTCTGTGTTTCGTTTGCTGCTGATGTTCTTTTGGATATTTTTTGCCCTCTTTGGCGTACCGAACGCGTTGGCATTGATCGAAAAAGACAATCAACATAATATAAGTAACATTCACATGGGACAGTCCCATCATTTAAATGAAAAAAAAAAACGAAAAGTAATTTTAATAAAAATTCACTTCAAAAGCTACAAGCAGAAAGCGGCGCGCAAATACATTTTTTTTTTTTGTTTAATGTGTAGATCGAATAAGTGCCGCTGGCATGGCGGTCGTTTTGGAAGCAGAGTAAAGCAGACGAGTGTAAAAAAAGGTTTTACAAGTTAAAGAAAAAGACTGTGAGAAGAAATACTCGAATATTTTCAAGAAAATAAAAATATATTTAAAAGCCAAATTGTCCCCAAAAAAAACACGCTTTCCCATCTTCGCTCCAACCAAAGTGCTTTCATTGCAGCTTAAACCCCAAAAATCCGATTCTTCTCACCCAACTTGATCTGTCTAATGCCACTTTTATGACTTACTTTCAAGTCTTTAACATTTCTCATCTCTGTACATCTCTATACGTCTTACTAAATCTTTCGAGTGCCACAAACACGCTCTTTAAACCATAAATTTTTCTAATCTTTTTTATGTCTTTAATCGAAGACTGATCAGATTTTTATTGGCAGCTTAAACACTTCATTTGCCGTGCGCTTGCGCTGCGCAGCGCTTATGTATGTATGTAGCTTCCTCAATTGTCATGAGGTCTCTATTAGTTGGCTTTTGTTGCACACCTTTTCTCCTATTTTTCATAGACTTTCGAGGATTTAATTATATTTACCTCTTAGCTTTTTATTGCCTCCGCTTATCTCGCTATTCATTAATCTTGACCTTTTGACCTTCCAGCCGGTCTGCCGTTACTGCAATGCAATTAAGATTACATAAGTGTATTTACCTTTTCTCATTTGTATAGTTTTCTTCCTCTTATTTGTCAGCGCACGTTTACATTTTAATTGTTAATGTGTTAATTTGTTAGTGTCGATACAACTGTAATTTTAGATAAGTAGTTAATTCAATATTTGAACTTTGTGTTGTGTACTGAAGAGCAGATAAATGGCAGCAGAGTTCCTAGTAATTGTTAGGCGAGTGCACACTACCTCGACGTTATTTACTTGACACTGACTACTTCGGTTGTAAATTTAAATATTTAGGAAAAAAAAAGTATGAAAATGCTGTGGGTTTATGTAATAGTTGGTAGTCAAACTGGATTTATGAATTAGTTTAGTTTATCCATTTCCTGCTTTAAAGATAATTTCTTAACTAAGTAATTTTTCCATTGATTAATTCGTCACGCTTTTTTTAAATGTTTGGTTAAGATGATTCAGCCAGAACTCACAGGGGCAGCAGGTTAGGGGAATATGGGGAAGTAAAGAGCGCTCAAGATATTTTTTAATATTTGGAGTAAAACTTTTAGTTGGTTTAATGGTCGATGAGGCTTCCTCCCCAGTTTTTCGGCGACCGCGTTTCCTTCCATCCCGCTGTGACCTTCTATATAGCAGTATTCCCATGTTTTGCGCTGAAAGAGTTGAAGAGCAACAACAGACTCATTTATCAGCTTTTAGATGATCATCCTATTGGATAGAGCATGGAGTCAAAAGAGCCGTATCTTTCTAACCCTGCTATTCTTCCGTGAAACCCTTTCCGTGTCTTGAGACTGCAGCTTCTTGAACCACATTATGGCCACCAGACTACGGAGAAATAAGCGAAAATCGTACAGACTCTCAAGTGGTGATTAAGATTGCCACCGAAACAATAGCTGATTCTCCAACTGTACTGTATGTACTTATTTAGCTAAGGGAGAGCGGGAGGCCATTTTTAGAAGCTGGGATCGAGTTAGCGTATTAGAGGATGTAAGGATTACCTTTGATACGAGAATTTATGTATCGATCACAATGTGAACCAGAGAGAGATATTCGGGCAGGCCAATGAAGCGGTAGCTCTATGTAGATGTGACCCTTTTACTCAATTGGAGGAGTCAGGAAAGGGGCTGGGCTTTATTTCGAGCTTACTACGATGTCAAAAATTACTACGCGAATGGAGTGGGGCGAAGTTAACATGACCGTGTGATAGCCAAGATGGATTAGAGTTGACCATGGCTGGAAAGGCCAGTAACTTATTACTTCACTAAAAAGTTCATATCCATTTAACAACGAGCGAATTGCTTTAAACCACTGATGTGCATTGCCTTGCCCGCGGGCAAAGCTCTTTTAAACTTTCTATATATATTGTATAGGCGCATGCAGAGCAAAAGCTCTCTCTGCCCATCGCTGCTTGAAACACAAGGGCGCCTGCGTTTTCGCTGCGCTAGATTTGTGCGGGAAATGCTTAGGTCGCTTAAACAGTACTGATGTCGTTTTAATACTATTTCATATAATCTGTTTTCTCGACAAGATAAAAATATGTAATAATTTGTATCTACTGCCTCTAACAATATGCGCCACTGTATGGTAACCGAGTTGAAGGGAAGCTCAACGAAAATTTACTGTTCGGTGGGCTCAAATCCTTTTTCGTTTGTTTGCACTTTCTCAGTTCATAGAAGAATGTCTTGGGGATTACCTCAGCCACATAATTTCTAGCAAATGTAATTAGATGTGTACATTAACATAAAAAAAAAGTTATATGTCGCTCATCTAATCCGGCTGCACCACTTCGTCCTAGCACTTTTTCCACGAAGTTCACAAAAAATCCTACGCCGTTGCCATGAAAAATCGGGAATTTCCAAAAAACTCACGAAAATTTTACTGCATGCATACTAAGTATGTGCGTTTGTACCCCAAACTATGTAGTGGCCATAATTCATTTCGTGATCAGCATCAAGCCTAATGGACACTTAATGACTCCAAAGTGAATGATAAATGATGACCAACCATGGCAGTATTAAAGTATTTTGTAACAAACAACTGTGAAACACACACAAAAACACAGCAAGAAACATAGCAAACGCATTGTTTTCGACACGTTGTCAACGCAACTAATCCGATCCTGCGATCAAAGCAATGGTTTACCTACACTTCAGAAGCAATTCAGGCTCACATGAGAAAACGTATACCCCTACGTATGCAAGTGATTCAGTGAGTGCATGCCTTACTTAGTGTGTAAAGAATATTTTGATAGGAATTTCAGACAACAGCAATCACAGCGCAGCGATCAACGAAGCGAAACTTCTATGGAATTTTAAATATAAAACCATAATGCAAACGCAGGGAAGCGACTTGTGTTGCATGCCACATGTGTAGTGCGTATTTTAACGTATAAAAAGGTGAAGAGAGTTCAGAGTTCACTTATTGCTGCAGCGGCTAACATACCACAATTTGCTCACATTTGTAATGATAAGGTACGAGTACTTATGTGTTGCAACAAATGTTGAACCAATAAAACGCATAATTCAAATACGGTGTGATGTTACAAATAAAAAAAAAACTACATATTTATATGCATACGCCATTATTCACGCTTGATGAGTTATGTGTGCGCAAGCGGATGAGGCACGTTTAACAGCGTTGCAGTATTAAGCAGGTGGCAACTACTCAGGTGTAAAACGAAAAAGCACGTGCGAAACAAATTTAAAAACCCTAAAATGATATATATGTAGACAACAAAATATATGCATCACATGGTGTAAACTAAATAGCCTTATCATTCTTACCAATATCAATTTTTTTGTTTTGATCATATGTAACTCCCTTTTGCACCGGAAAGGTAGTGTCTCAGATGTATTTATATGGGAATTGAAGTCGGTTTTGTTTTTTGCTTAAAAATTACTTGTTTAAGACCTGCCCTGTTCTGAATACAGTCTGAATGGACATTACTTAAAACCAGAAATGGGTAGTTAGAGATTTTACACATCCTGTGCTCCCACATAAAATTTACAAAAAGCATTAAAAAGGTCTCACAATATACTGTGTGTTCTAGACAAACCGTCCACCCCTTCTGAAATGGTGGAAAATGTTGGTTATTAGAAAACGCAAAATATTCTCAATATTTTGGTCGTTTTGCTACTTCGTGTTTCGACCGGAAGCGGGTTAAACTGACCGGAAGTCCATTTCGCATTCTGCGACTAAAAATACATAACTTTTGTTTGAAGCCTTCTTATCGAAAGTTTCTTTTTAACCTCTAAATGACCTTCGAACTTCAACTCGTCTTGAACTTCCAAAATAGGCGAAATTATTTTTAAGGGAATACGAATAAAAAGGAATCCCCCAAGTCGGGTATGCTCTCTCTTTTGTTCATGTCACTGGCTGCCGAATTCGACAGAGCACTGCCTAAGTAGTGTCCATGGATATCTTCTACTTTGTATAGCCGTATTTACAATGATTACGGTCAAAACAGTTCCATGATAAAAGCTTTTTACAGCTTTTCTTTGGACGCAGACAGAGCTCTTTGCGGTCGTTACTGATTAAAAATCTACTAAAGCCTTAAAAAGTTTTACTGCAGGTCTTGTTTTGCTAATGGCCTTTCCAAACTCCGTGCTCAAGCGGGCAGTAAACGTTTTCAGAGGGTCTTAAGAGTGCGATGGTAAGGAAAAGTTTACCCTTTTCGTATCCATAAAGAACCTATAAAGATCTTTAAAATACTTGTTCTACAGAATATGAATTCGTCGTCACTGTCTTAAAGGATTGAAGACCGGCAGATCAATAGGGTTAATTTTTCGTAATATATGAAGGCTATATGCGGCATTGCAAATTAAAAAAAATATTTTCCCAAAGAACACGATCAAAGATTGATTCGAGATGAAATGTAATGTTGTAAGTAATATGTATTATCGGCATAACTTAGACAAGAATGCTACAATAAGATGAAAAAAAGTAAAAAGCTGGTCCTTTTTTTCGGGAAAAAAAAATAAAATTGAAAGGAAAGACCAAAAAAAGTTGAAAATCGTAAAATTTTTTAATGAAGGGTTATGGCATTGATTTGCACTTATTTTTAGCTCAGCTTTTTACAAGCAGAAATGTTTTTAATGAATTTCCATCAGGCATCAAATGACAAAGCTCGGCTAAAAAAAAAAAACAAATTCGTTTCCTTAATAAAAGTAGTTATACAGTTCGGAAATGACACGGGCGGTTCTTGATCATTTTCTGATTTACAGCCTAGTGTAAATCAAGCATTACACACATTCAGGTGGTAATAAATTCCATTGCAACTTTATTGCAAGTATTTTAGGTGTCCACACCGCCTGCAGACAGAAATCTGATAGTCATTTAACATTAATTATCACACAGTTGGAGACTTTCTGCTTAAAAACCAGCCACCATAGCCCCATACTTAAGCGTTAAGGTAAATATGTGTGAAAAAATTTATTTAAATAAAATTTCGGTTCACCGTTCGAGCGCCAACCGACAGATTTTTGGACTCTTGCTGGTGTTTGGGGCACGCCGTGGTCATGCCGCATGCCCCGCTGCTATCGCATATTTATCATTGGTGTTCACAAACAATTACTTTAAAATATACTTATTTTATTTTTTTTATTAATATTTTATTCCCCGTTTCGAATGCTTTTATTTTTATTCAACTCTCATAACTTCTTCAATTGTATTGTTGCTTGGTTGAGGTAGGTGTGTGTGACAGCGGGTTGTCAACGATTGATAAAAGTAAAAGAATAAAAAATGAACTTTAGAGTTCCCGCATTCGATCACATACGCTGTTGTTTGCCCAAAAAACAATAACAATAACAACAACAAACACAAGCGTTTAATATATGTAGCTGTTGCCTTTTGTTCGCGCGTTGAATTATTGCCGAATTGATCACATTTATTGAATGCACAGCCCAGTGTGTTACTGTGCGCTAAGCAAAAAAATAAATAAATAAACAATGTTGTGGAAAACTCCTTTTATTGTGGCCAAATCTTTTGTATACAGTTTCCTTTATTCCATGCTTTTGTAGTCGTCGTTGGTGGTGGTGGTGGGGAGGTTATATATTGGCGGAGTTGGCACTTAATTGAAATGTAGCTTGTAGATACAAGTTGTCGCTTAACAGCAACTTTGATTCACACACGACATGACGCACAAAACTTAAAAAAGAAATAGAAAAATCGAAATTAAAAAAAAAAAAATTAAGTCATTTTTATTAGTAAAGGCATTTGTTATTCGCCAGAAATTTGTGTGCTTCTCAGCGTTGTTCGCTTTCTGCTCCCCCAAAATCAGAGGTTTCTCATAAACGCACTACTTACTCTTACTTGTTTTTCTTTCAAATTTTTTTCTTTCACACTCGCTATTTTTATTAGCCGCATATTTACTTTGTTAATTGGGTTTCTCAAGCCTTTGTCATTGGCTAGGTATTCTATTATTTTTTACTCTTTTTTAAGCACTTGATTGGACCACACACGCATGCGCCCTTCTTGGAAGAGTTAATTTGAAGATTTTTTTATTGCTTATAAAAATATTTGTTTCTAATGAATAACGCCGATGATTATGTAGTTTGTATATCGCTTAGCTTAATGATATTTTATTCCCATGTAGGCAGCTACCCAAATGCCATTAAATTTCGGTGCTGAATGTGTTTATGAGCAAAGATTGAAGTGCCTTCAAGGTATATACATAAGTATTTCCGCTTGATTCGAAAGCAATTAAATAATCAAAATATTGTCAATTTGAGCTTTTATTTAATAACTAAGTCTTTAATATGGCCGCTTTTATGAATATTTTGTGGCGCATAAAATTGTATGGTAATAAAATACGACTTTATTTCAAGCAAGCATATTAATCTCCATTTTAAGCAAATTAATGTAAAAAAAAAAAAAAAAAAACATTTATGACCTAAACAGATTTACTCGTATCTACAGGTGTAATTTTAAACCAGGGAGCTGATATTGATAATAATGTTGTTCAAAATCACTTTTTGGCTCAAACTTAAACCAGCAACATAAGATTCCTTGTTGATTCTTATTTTTTCCTTAGACGTCTGTATGTTGCTCGGCGGTGCTGAGATGTGTTTTATCAACGTAGGCAACTACCAAACTCGCAGTAAATGTTGCGCAGAGTATCCTCAGCGAAGTTGGTATACTATATAAGGCTTGTCTTGTACGTCAATAGATCGGTTGTAGTCAGAGAATGAAGTGCGTGTTTCAGAAAGTTTTTGTGTTTGAACCAGAGTAGGCTTCTTGACTTGTTTTACATATCGCGTTGTTGTTTTTGTTGTTGTTGTAGTGTAGCGGCTTATCCTTAAGTCGTTTTCAAGCTCAACTAACGGAAGACCCAGGAGGTGTGCCACTCCGACTGAATTGGAGCAGAGGAAGAGGGGCGTTAGTTAAGTGGGTTGCTGCAGTATACAAAGCGAATTTGAGCTATGGTTGACCGGTTCTCACGAGGCAAACAAAGTTCTGTCCCGTCCACGTCTGGTGACTGTGTTCCCAGAACGGCATTCACAGGCCGGAAATTGGTGTAAGTCGAAACCGAATCGCTGCGAATGCCGGGTCTGGCTGGTCGGTACGCTGTTGGGTTCAGATACTCTGGACATCGTCAGTAAGTTCGTACAGATGCCCTTTTACATGCCTAGGCAAGGGCTCCGTGGCACCCTCCTAGAAACTGCTTACATAGCATTGTGTTGTCTTCCTTGCGGCTGAATTTGGGGCTCGTCACCTAGGTGGTGCTCGGATGACAGAAGATGGCATTTCATGGCGGCCCGGAGTGCCGTGCTTTGGTAGGTCTGTAGCTTCATCCAATGCGTCCTGCTAGTCCCCGGCAAGCACATGAGCGCTGTAAAGTTTAGAACCGACCGGACCAAATGCTTTGTATCTTGCCAACAACATTTTTATGTCTTTTCCCCAAGTAGGGTATTGACAATTAAGTATTCGCGCGTCGAGAAACAGTCATTCTTCGTTTGTTCACAGGCGGAATTGGTTCGCCATCGACGTTTATTCCCAGCTGTAGAGTATCCGTGTGGTAAAAGGGTTGCCGAGGATTTCATAGGGGAATTTCGGGGAAAAACAGAAAGTTCAGAGAGGTAACCGTTAACTTTCGAGCACAAGCCATCAAATCCATTTCCGGACGCCATTATCGAGCAGTCGTCGGCGTAAGAGACTATCGAGACTCCCTGTGGTGGCTGAGCGAGCTTTGAGATATACAATACTTCAGCGCAATAAGAAAAAATCTTTGAAAAATTAATTTTTTTTCTCGAAGAAGAATGAAGAAGAGCTCTCAACGAAGATTTTATGCAATTAAGCTAAAAGATGAGGATAATTTAGGAGCACGTAGGTAAAGGTCTGAAAAAATCTTCAGCCACTAAGTAAACCCCTTACAAGATAAAACCCAATCCTTTTTTATTTTGTCAGCCGGGTTTTGAACGTGGAACCAGAAGGCGTTTCTTGGTCCTCGGACAAGACCAATTATATATAAAGGAAAGCCGCTTCTCTCTGAAAGCATGAAAAAAGGTTCGTAAAAGGCGACCTCGATCCTACCTTTAGCAAGTTTGTTAGATAAATAAAATTTAATTATGTATTTCAAAATTCAAAAAACAAATAGTGGCCGCTATCAGGGTTGGAACAAATTAATTTTTATAATCACACAAATTCGACAAAACTTTAGTGGTCACAACCAAGGTTTGAATAAGTTAATTTTTTAATCGCAAAAATTTGATAAAATAATTGCCTTAGCCCGCGAATAACTCAGCAAGTTAATGAATTTATATGAATAAGTTTCAGTACGCTGAGTTATAGCAGGTCGAAGTCCGAATTTTGTCGAATTTTCGCGATTTTTTTAAATGAAAAATTTTTAAACTCTGGTAGCGACTCCTAAAAATTTGGGCACCTTTATTTTGTACGTAGAAAAATGTTTCCCTATCAACTTATTCTACTTGAATGCACTTTACGATTTGTATCTGTCTAACTTTAAAGAAGAGAAATAGCGACCATAATCGAAAAAGAGGCAACCGGCAGCGGTCTTTTGCCTGATTGCTATCTTTAAAAGCAACGCAAGCGAAATGATTTTTATCGCAAACAAACAAAGGAAAAAACAACCAGACACAATCAAATGAAACAAAAGTTAAATTTTATAAAACTGAAAAAAAAATCTTAAAATTTTTTGCATCCTTTGCGAATTAAAAAGCCCGCAGAATAAGTTAAAAGCAACAAATCTGACAAAAGAAAGAATGAAGCGCAACGAAAATAAAAAATCGCTAAAATTTTAAGTTAAAAAGGTTAAACTAAAAAGTAAGCGAGAAAAAAGTACCAACTTAATCCGCTTAAAACGTATAGCAGCAACTTGGCTGGAGTTTACATACCAATTAGGACATAAAATGGACAGTTGAGTGGCAAAGACAAACAAAAATGCATTTATATGTATGAATTTACAAAAGTATTTAAAACGCACATACGAACCTATAAAGGCCCCATATTAAATAGAACAGAGGGTCCTAAGTAAATACAATGCGCACACAAATTGCGTCGAACCTGTAACATTGGACACATTTGCTGATAGGCTGATACAGCTACATACCCAGGAGTATCTACCTACCTGTGTTAACACAATGAATGCGTGCCGGCCAGTAACNCCATGATATCTTTTCTAGAATAAGGAATTAAAGTAGCATATTTTAAGGCCTATAGAATTTTCGTATCGAACGTGTTGTGTTTTTCGACCCGCCCTAATGAATATCTAATACTAAAGTGGGAGTGAAAGGTCGAAAGTGCAGCCCAACATTCCGCTTAATTTGGAAGATATTGAGTTTACACGACAGTTTGGTGTCTACTACGAATCCAAAATACTTTGTGCTTGGCTTTGGTTATAGAGTGGTCTCCCTAATTTAGTTATGTTAGGCAAAGTTCTCATTTCATCAGTTCTTTTAGATATATGTAATACCCTTTATTGCCGCAAAAGCTTTGCCATTAAGCAGATTGTTCTACTAGTCCTAGCATTGCGGAGATTCCGCTAGCCTAGGTAGCTTGAAGAATAATTATTCTTATAATTATAATCTGTCTTGCCCCCTGAAACCTCTTAACTGCGTCTCCCACCACGGAAGTCTAACATTACTCTGGGTACTTTTCAGGGCATTAAAGGTAGTAACAGACATGGTTGTTAAGTGATTATTGTTTTTTTTTCCACGTTGTCTGAATTTCGTAAAGGTCTGGCCGTGCGAATTCTACTTTCGGCAGTTTATCTAAAACCGGTTTAATGTGCTAGCTTTGGGATTCTTAAATAAATTTCGTTTCGAAATTCAACAGAGGAATATCCAACCCATTATGCGAATGATCAGAAAAAGCGGACAAACGCAGCACTTTCAAGTTTCTTAGTAGTAAATTTCCTACTAGCTTTGCAATCACAATTGGAAGTATTTTTGAATAGCTATCTAATGTTTACATCCCAGGACATTGACCTGCCAAAAAGTGAATAGTCAAATCACGCATTGATTATTTTTCCATACATTCCTATCACTCTGCCTACCTGCATATTTCGGTACTACCGTTTTTTTTTTACCTTTTTGACAATTACTTTTTAACGTTACTTACATGACTTGCAAGTTCTTCCCTCGGTGTCCTGTTCACAGTCAAAGTCATTATATGCATTCAAATGCGTACAATTCAAGTGCTTTACAATAAAATGCGCACAAATACCTTCAACGGAGGAACAAAAAAAATTATGTAAGCTACAGCTTCATTCAAATAGAACAAAAATTTTTATTTATTATCCCGCCAACAACAAGTTCATGCCCACTTTACCGCTGTCGCATACTTTCTTCTAAGTTCCCGCGGCATGATTTAATTAACATCAAGTACATTTTTATGATGCACTAATTTCGGTGAAAATCGAATGAAATTGTTCCGTTTAATAGTTGTCTTCACATACCCATAGCCTCGCGGCCGAAATTCCACGACCCTTTTGGAGTTTACTACAACAAACGCATAACTTTGTTTGGCTGTTGCTGCTCCCGCGCATAAAACGAAATTCCAGCTTCAACCACCCTCCCTCCACCTTTTTATGTATGTACATTAGGGTGGTCAAAAAAAGAAGGAAAGTCGAAGTTTTAATGCTGTCGCCTTCTTGGATTGTGCTACTGAAAAAATTGTTATTTTCCCATATAAAATACATGGAAAGCTTTAAGCGGCCTTTAAATATTTTTTGATTTCGAAAAAAAACGTAGGTTAAGCGAGCATTAAAATGTCAACTTTACTTTTTCCCATACATGCATTTTTGAACCAGCCTAATGTATATACATACATACATGTACGTGCTCTTGGCCAGCTCTTTACAGATTAAGTATTTGGTAATTTCGATTTTTATGATTTTTAAGGCATTTTTCCTTTTCTAATTGCTTGCTAGCGCATTTTCCATTTTATTAATTTTATTCGTTTTATCTCTCTGCCGTGCTGCGCTATCAATGAACTCACTTGTTCCCAGCCCTCCTGCCTGTTTCGGTTATTGTTTCCACTGATTTGGTTGTTTTAGCCTAATTACAGATTGTTGTGTCGCCGCTGCCGTGGCCGTCGCCCTCGCCCTCGCTAGCCATTGCTGCTGCTATACATGTAGTACGTCCGCTTTATGACCCTTCATCAATCCTTTGAATGTAACTAGTACAAGCAAATACCAACCAGTACAGATAGCAACACTAAGAATTGCCTTCACCGCGCGATTGCTTTTTCTGTATTACCCTTTTTCGGTAGTTCTTCTCTTTCCTATTTAACTTGTGTTTTGCCTTGTTGCTGTTATTTTTGTCTAATTTAATTGTCGTGGTTCTTGTAATTCATTGTTGTTGTAATCATTTACTCCGGCCGTGTGTGCACCTGTGTTACTTTTATTACATCACTGCTCGTTTTTCTACCTGGCTATCGCACGAATCCATTTGCTTTGCTTGCGTCCCTCGTGCGGACGCTGGCTGACCCTACACTACATAGCTCATTTCACTGAACCGTATCCGCGTCCAGCTGCAGTTCGTTGTCGTTTTTAATTTCCTTTGGTTTTGGGTATTTGGCGGGGCATCGAGGCATCGCTCAGTAATGTGGCAGAGAAAAAAATGGTTCCTCACACTGGCGCTCGCATTTAGTGCGCACTGTCTGGATTTATTTTTTTTGTTTTTTTTTTTTTTTGTTTTTTTATGCATTCTGATTTCCCGATATTTGATAAATTCATATCATTTTCTAGCTCTGCTTATGCTTGTTTCGTTATGTTTCTGTTTTTTTCCACGCATTAATTTTTGAAAAATTCATTTGGGGCGTGGCTTTTTTCCGCATTTGCTTCTGTAATTAAAGTGGAAGGACTGACAAAGTTTTGGGTTCGATGTTTTCTTTAAGAGCCCCATTTTGGATGGCAATTTAATGAAGCTGTGTTTTAGTACACCCAAAAAAAACTTCTCTTAATTGAAGAAAAACAGCAATCAAAGTGAAGAAAAATGGGAACGAAACAGCACTAAAGAAGTTTTATCCTCTTTTCATGCCCAACATTTCTTCAAAATGATAGATTACATCCACGGTTCCATATTTTCGTATACGTGTTTACACCTTCCAAAGAAAAATTACGCATTCGGGAGAATTTTTTACTCATTCGGAAGAATTTTCGACCTTAAAGTAAGGAAAGTTTTCCTTTGATCCAGAGATGGATTTTTGGTTCAGTGTACCTTCCAAGATTACTTTTCTAGTTTTTAATGGAACAGGGCTTCGCAGTGAGTCCTGTGTTTTACATATATAACTGAGGTATTTAAAAGGCACTAACGATGAATTCGTCTTAGAAACCTGCAATTATAAAAAAATTCANAAAAGGCACTAACGATGAATTCGTCTTAGAAACCTGCAATTATAAAAAAAAAATCGTAATTAAATGGGAAAAATTTTTGAAAAAATTCTGCTTTGAAATGTCTCTGCATAAAATGATGGGTAAAACTATTCCAAAAATTTAAGTTCCGAACTTTCTGCAAGTTTTCATCCGAATTTTGCTCAACCTAATTACCTTTTTGAGAAAAAAAAATTAGCTAGAGGCAACAAAAAACAAAATTAAAAAAACTTCCTTATTGAAACAAATCTGTGTACATAAGCTTTGTTGGGTTAGTGTACTTATATATACGATATTTAAAATTTTTTCTCTTTTGTTAAAAAAAAACACAAAATTTCGAAAAATTTAACAATTTTAATATGGCCAAACAATTTTGAAATTTCTGTTGAATGCACATTTCCGTTGTCTTAACATACAAATCCTAATCTCATATTTTTTTAATATTTACGCATTTTAAGCTACCTGATATGTATGTATGTAAGTATGTTTTAAAAGTTACGTACAATAAATGTTTGTAATTTTAGTGTTGGTCAGATCGCGGTATTTTTTTTTTTTTAAGTTAAATCCATATATATACATACATAGATGTACATATATGTAAACACTTGTATAAATATTTGTATTAGCATAAAAATATACCACCATACACTTGAAGACATACTACGAAAACGCTCTCTCGTTGCCTCACTAAATATGAGTTAACAGAGCGCTGTTGGTTGGTAGAAAGTGTGGATGAAGTTATGTTGCTGCTACAAAAACTCTGCAACATTTGACGTAGTAAAGCAGTTGTGCTGTTTATAGCATAACCCCACGCACTACACCACAATCCACAGCTATGTACATGTTGA